TTATTAAAAACAAATTGAGAGGAAGAACAAAACAAAAGCAAAGGGTTCCACCAAACAATTAAATAAACATTTTTCTTGCATTCGAACAGATTTTCATTGACAAGAAGTTGCAGCGTGTAAAATGTGAGATAAGATAATGAGATAGGTATAAATAGCTGCACACACACATAGAAATACATATATTTATATTTTGAGTGTGTTTTGACGTTGCGCTGCATAGTCAGGAAGTGGGCTCAAACTGTAAAAGAAATTAAATCAGAAGTCGTCCACTACACTTGATTGGCTGTGCCGATCCGCATGATGATCGCTACACTGACTGCAAAAGCTTTTGCACAGTGTGTGAGTGCTATAAAGCTCAATAGTGCGTGTGCGCGAGCGCGAGTGTTGAAGCTTTTGCATTTGTTGAAGCAATAGAGAGAGAGAGAGAGACTAGAAATATGTAGGCCTATGCTTAGTGAATTTCGTTTCTTTTTCCCTCTCTTTGTATTTGGCACTAGCTGGCGACGTAGCCATTTTTAGATTTCCTTAGTGCTAGTTGCGGCTGCTGTTGTTGTAGGGCGCTGTTTTGTTGTTGTGTTTGCAGTTCGAGCTTTTTTAGTGCTGTTGCCATTGTTGTTATTTTCGTTGGCGTGTATATGTATTTAGTGCGCGTGAATGTCATTTATAAAGCAGCAAAAGCTTTGCGGCTGCAAAACGTTGCGCGTGTGCGTCTGTATGTGTGCCTAAGCGTTTTTTTGTGTGTGCGTCTACGCACATTTTTAATTATGTTGTGCGAGCTCAAGGTTTTTTTGAAACATTTTTTGTTGCTGTGCAGGCGTTGGCGATAGAGCGTAGCGGTCGCCGCTTGCCCCCGACCCTTTACCTCCCTCTCCCTCTCCCTCTCCCTAGCCCTCACCCTCACTCTTTCTCTCTCGCTCTCTGTTCACTTGCGGCCAATTTTAATTGTAGGCCGCAATAATTTAGATGCGACTCCGACACAATCTACAAATAACCCAATAACAACAACAACAAAAAAATGCGTAACACATAAAATATTTTTTTTGCGCTGCGTTTGCACATACACATACATACACCTAAATATACATGTTATATAGGTACGTATAAAATGTATTTATATAGTTTTTTCCATATAATAGCTTTACATACAAGCTACGCCCTTCGCCTTTTGTGTGAGTGAGAGAGAGAGATATATACATAGAGTTCTAGCTATGCTATAAGCATAGACATGCACACACATGCATACATGTATGTATGTATGTATGCTTATGTATTATCAGAGCGTTTTGGTGTTGTAATTGCTATAAATTGACAAATTGTTGTTGTTTCTTCTATATATTTATTGAACAATAACAAAAAGCTGCTACTGAAGGTTAATTTATATGATTTTAAAGAATATATTTGTTACAGTTTTTGAGGTTAGTTTTTGGATTAGCATAAATTAGCATATTTGAATGATAAAAGCAGTTTTTAAACTATTTATCTGCTCTTATTCACTCTCTCTCTCTCTAACACGCAGCAAGTTTAAAAGTTTTAAGGTTAGTTTTTAGTTCTTCTTAGAGTGCTACTACACACATACATGTTGCTTAAGTCATATGCTGTTCATATATCTCTCTATGCTTAACTTTTCATTAGGATTTAAAAATTAATTTTTTAAGAGAAATGCATTTTTGATAGTTAAATAACAATGGTTTTTGCTTTTATTACTCTCACTCTCCTTATCTCTTTCTATCTCTCTCTTCCACGCCCTTTTCTCTGACTCACGGCGTTTGCATGTTTTGAAGGTTTTCTCAAACTAACACCCTGTAAAAATAATATCATCTACTAATTTAAGCGCAATTTTATGGCCATGTTTTATGGTCTATAAAAAAACAAAAAGAATGTGCGACACGCATCAACTTAGGATTTGCAGTGCACAACTATATACATACATACATACACATACATACATACATATATATGTATATATACATATATATATACAAATGTAACTTGTCATAAAAAAAATGCGAAATCAACGCTTTTTTTATGTGCTGCTAATTAAGCTTATCAAAAACGCAAGACAAATTCATTATAAAAGCAAAAAATAGGCAAACAAGAAACACAGAAAACAAATATTTTTATTTCATATTATTTAAGTACAGTGAAAACCTGTCAGTGTCGTTCATTTTGAATTTGTTTTTCTCCATTGTTGTTTGGTCTGTAGGCCTAAAGCACACATATGTAGATACAGACCAATGCTTTCCGTATATAGTGTGTAGGTGTGTATGTGTGTAGTGTGCATGTGATATGTACACACAGTTTGTCAGATATGGCGGAGCCTATGTGCAATGCTTTGGCAAACTATTCGTTCGCAGTTGTTCCCCAGCTGCTAATTGTCAGTTGCCTTTTGCTCCACTTCGCAATCGCACACACACTCTCACTCACACTCACACTTACACTCATTCTCTCGCTCGCACACGCTCGCATGTATTGGCAAATGTGCTGGCAAAAACTTTTGCATGCACTCAATACATAGAGTAGAGTTGCGTTGTGTAGAGTAAGCAAAGGCCCTCTACATGTGGGCGTGTGTGTGTCTGTGGGCTGTCTATGTATGTGTGTGTGAGCAAAATAGAAAACGCATTTCATGGGCGTTGTTAGATAGTTGCGTTGCGGGGCTCGCATGGATGAGGTTCAAGCATTGGACGGCTCTGTGCTGTTTGCCATTGGGCAAGAGCGGAGAGCGGTAAAGTTTACAAATGTGCAGTTACACATACACATATGCTCTCTCACATTTTGTCTTATGTAGAGCGTCGATTATTAATTATTCAGCATTTGTTTACGCTAAGCAAATTTATGAGCCACTTGAAGGAATTGAGGCGTAAAAAAAAACTTCAACTCTAAACAACAAGCTCTCATTACAATGGCTTTGCGTATTTTTGGAAAGTGCATACGCAGCGGCCAATTGCAGTGAGGAGGCTAGAGCGAGCGAAAGAGAGATAGACAGATTGATTGCCTGTCACTCTAGTGCTATGTCAACAGCTAAACAACTGTAATAACAACTGTGCTTCGGTTAAAGCTATTGACGGGTTTTTTCTTGTTGTTATGTTGAATCGTTTTTCTTGGTAGGCGACACATTAAAATTCAAGCAACTGCAGTGGCAGGTCATAAAATGCCACAATTATTAAAGCAGCCGCAGCAGCAACACGAGACGCAGAAGAAGAAGAAGCAGCACACGAAGCAGCTCTAATGAGTGCACGCAACGCAAGGGGAAGGGGGAAGAACAACGTACACAACTGCATAGGCGCAGCAACTGCGGCGCACTTTGCGCAACTGCGAACGACGACAGCAGCAGCAGCATTGCATTGCGTCAGCTCTGAAAGCCGCGCAGTCTGCGACGCACATAGCGAGGGAGCGAGCGAGATAGATAGCAGCAGACAGGGTGGTTGGGGTAAGGAGCTTTGTGTATTCTAGGAAGCCGAACGATTGCGCAATGCGAGTGAGCGAGTCAGCACTACCGAAAGGTTGAGAGGCCAGGCAACTAAAACGCACTTCCGACAAGTGAAATGCAACAAAACACAATAGCAAATGGTAGAGTAAAGAAAGAAAACAGTAAAAACGAAGCACACGTAAAACAAAGGTTGAAAATAACCAAATTGTTGTTGCATTTAATTAAATGCGGAAGGCCCACTACAGCTACAGCAACAGCAACTACATTTAAGCGCACGCAGCAAGCAACAATAGACCGAGCGGCTGAGCCAGCAAGAGAGAGGGAGGAGAACAGCAGTACACACAGCGCACAAAAATTTGGAACGCGCTGCGCTTAAAGTAGGTCAAAGTGGCAGCGACGCTGGCAGTGGCGTCAATGCCGCGAGGGGGTTGCGTGTTAGCAGCGACGACAGCGGTGACTGCGACGCAGCAGCAGCAGCAGTATAAGAAAAGTTTAATTTATGCAAAGAAGAAAAAAATGTTATGCGTTGCGTTTGTTAGCATGTGTGTGTGCGTCTTGTATTGGTGTGCATGTGTATGTGTGTAACTTTTGCTTTTCTTCAGTTGTCGCCTAATTGTTATTAATATGCAACGCTGACGCTCATAAATCATACACAAAAAGTGCGTAGAAAATAAAAAGCAAAATTGTCAACCTCTTTTTTCTCTCTCACATTTCTTTGCATACATTATAATTGTGCGTAATTATAATTATAATTACATGCGTTGTGCGTCTCCGTCTGCAAAATGTTTGCAAATGTTTGCAGCGTAAGAAGATACAAACAAAAAACTAAAAAACTTTCCAAAAAATGTTTACTTGCTTTTAACTAAGTGTGACAATATTTTTTTTCATTGCGGAGGGGGGGGGGGGGCGTTGTCAAGGGGAGTGGCCAGTGTTGGTTTAGTATTGTGTAAGTGAAAATGCGCTGCGCAATTAACATAAATATTGAATGACATTGTGTGGAGGTTAGGCTGAAGACTGAAAGCGTTCCGAGCGTCATGTGGAGAGTTAAACTGTAGACTCTTATGGCAAATGTATTCTTTCGAAAAAGCTTACTGAAGGAAGTGGCTGTAGAGCGATGTGGAGAGTTAAGGTGTAGAGTAATTGAGTGGAGGGAAAGAGTGTAGAGTAGTTGATTCTTATTGGGAATGCAGTTATAGAGAATGATGAAAATGAGTTTGCTTGAGTTTAGGCAGTCGAATTGGAGAAGTGGAGAGACTAACTAATCGAGTGAAACTGCTTAGAAGAGATCGAGTGCAGAGTAGCTAGTATTCAGAGAATGTAGATTACAGCGGAGACTTATAGCGTAGAGTTGTAGCAAATGTATTCCAATTACAAACTTTTTTCAATGAAATTTTGTTAGGTTAGGTTAAGTTGGAATAAGTAAGTGTTGGAAAGTTGACTATGAACACTGCCAGTGTTGAACAGCGCATTCTGTGTGCATATAAAGTTACATATACATTATTATAATTGTTATGAACTGACTTAAGATTAACAATAAATTTTTTTATAATATTTGTTTTTTTTTACAACTCACCTTTTAATCCAATTGCAAATGTTGCGTGTTAATCCAAAATGAATTTCGCCTCAGTTTTCAATCGTAAAAAATGTTTACAAATTTTTCATTAATTTTCAATCAATTACAATTTGGTTGCAATCAATTCTATTTCTTCCACTTCACTGCACTTAGATCAAATGTTATTTAAATTTTTGTTTTTTATTTTTTTATACAGTTCAGTTACTATCAAAAATGTTTACCAAATATTTATATTTTTTCCATATATATATATTTTTACATAAATATGTTTTAAGCATAGATTTTGTGTTTGTTTTTTTTTCAGTTTTTTTCTAAATTTTTTGTTTTGTTTTATCGAAACGAAATTTTTATGCAAACTAACACACGCGATTTTTTTTATTATTTTATTTTTTATTTCTTTTGCTGCTGCTTGTTGTTGTTGTAGTTGTAGTTGTTGCTGCTGTTGCTGTTGTTTGTTGTTGTTGCTGTGTTTAGTATTGCGTTTTGTCCGAACCAATAATTTTGAAGAGGTTTTCCAATTTAGTTGTTGGCTTTAAATTTGTTAGCGGTTTTTGCTTGATTTCGAAATTTAGCTGATTTTTGCTTTTGTTGTTGTTTTTCGGGTTTACTTAAAGTTACATTTAATTGATTTGTTGTTGTTGTGTTTTCTTTTGCTTTCTTTTTTATTTAGATTTTAGCCAAATTTAGTTAGATTTTTTCCTTTGCACGCAGCTAGCCAAAAAAGTTTTTTTTTAAATTTTTTTTAGCCCAAATTTATTTTTTGCCAATTTTGCATTTGCTTAAAGTTTTTTTTTTTTAATTTTTTTCAGTTCATTTTTGAAATATTTTTTCCATTGATTTTTAGTATTTTTTTGTAATATTTTTTTTAGTTAGTTAAATGTTCGAAAATTGCATTTTGTTGCATGCGGCAATTTTGCAGTCGCCTTTTTTGGGTTTTGTAAACGTGTTTGCTGTGCGGAGACATTTTCACAGTGACATTGGAGACCTGCAACAAGAGTGGAGAGTTGAATAAATATATATTAATTATACTTTAAACTTAAAAGAATGTCATACTATTATTTTATTCTTATTTTTATTTAATTTATAAGTCCTATAGGAATATATTTTTCTACTAACTTTTTTAGCTTGCTTTAACTACCTAAAACTCAGAATCTCTTCTAGGTATTGCCATTAACTGCTCAAATCTCAGGATCTCTTTGTCGTATGACTATAAAATTTAGTATGTGACTTCTTCTATATCACTTCTAACATAAAAGATTTATATATATTAGTTAGTACTTCAAGAACTCTTGGTATTTTGAATAAAAGCAATCAAATTACTATGAAACTATATGAGATATATACCATAACAGTTTGCTAGAAAGATAAGAAGCATTTCAACTTTACTATATTTCAATCCCAATATGATCTTCTGTAATATTTTTACTATAAATCTATGCGAAACGAAATATTCTTATAATGCCATACTTCCCAGCTCTTTCTATAGTCATATGAACAAAATAATATATATTATACATTTCACATTGCCCTTTTTTCCAAATTTTGATTAGCTTTGCTTCAGATTTTTCAAAATGTCAAAAAAATATAATTCTTATCTGTGTCCATTAATTCTACAACCCGAAGCCCGCAGATTGCAACGCGTTTCGTGGCGCTGCTTTGCGTCTTTAATCTAGCTTTAAGCTGAGGCTTCTCGGTAGTTGAGAAATATTTCACCAAGTGCCTTCAGGAAATTGTCAACTCTTATCGCTTCAAGTGCCAAATATGAATGGGGATGCTAAACAGATGCAATAGTTCAATACTATGGAACGCAATTCAGTTCACATTTGAACTGGTTCACATACCAAACTTTGTTTACTATACCTAAGAATATTTTGAATACTTTTAAGATTTACGAGTTGTTAACTATTTATATTTCTTACTTAATGTATTTATTATAATAACATATATTTATATAATAATATCATATATTATATTTATTATGCAAATAAATTTATGAGTTTTGACTTTGAGTCAGTTTTTAGTTGGTTTATTTATATTAATATATTACTTTTAATATATTTAATTTAAAAAGCATAACTAAGAGCATAACTAAGATAAAAGTTAATTAAGATATTTACATTAATATTATAATATTTAATATATATAATATATATATATATAATATATATAAATTATTTCAATAAATTAAGTAAGTTATAGTCAGAATTTTTAAGAATTTTTTTAGTAAATTTCTTTATGAAAAGAAGAATAAAAAATTAAAATTTTTTTAAATATTTAAGAAATAATATATACATATATAAACAAAAAATTCTAATTGCAAAATTTTGGAACTATATTTTATTTGCATTCAACATTTTTGCTAACGTATTTAAAATTTATTTTATTTTAGAAAAAAATAGCATATATTTTTGATGTTATGCATTATAATTTTATTATATATATTTTTGTTTATTATGTTTATATTTTTTTTTTTGCTCTCTCTCATATCAAACAAGTGTCTGAGCTAAGTTTTGCATATATATAATATATGTCTTTTATATATAGTGCTGTTATAATCCCTGCGTTGTGGCTTATGCACTTTTCATACACACACACACAAGCACACGCACACGTGTCTTTGGAAGGGTTTTAAATTCAGTTCACTTTTTGTTTCTTTCTCTTTTTCTTGTTTCTTTTTGCATAGGTTTGCCTGAGGGGCGGGCAGGGTGGTTTATTGTTTGTTATTGCTCTTGTTGTTGTAGTAATTATGATTGCTGTAGTTGCTGTTGTTGTCGCTTGATTAAAAATGCACAAGTTTTTTGCTTTCCGCTTTTCCCATTTCCAGTTTTCAGTTTCCAGTTGCAATGTTGCCCAGCAACCCCATTCGCTATGCTAAAGATCGCAACACACACACAGCCACAGACACACACACACACTCGCACACACACATAGAGTTACGCACAGTTGTAATTGGAATACGCATTTATTGCATTTATAGGGTTTTTCTGTCGGAACGAGTTGAGAGTTAAGAAACTTGTAGAGCTGCGCACGCTGAGTCCTTTTTTTGGGAAAGTATCTTAAAGATACATAAAGTGCACTTAAAGAAAAGACGGAGACATATATATATATATAACATATATAAAGAACTATTTAAGGCGCGTAAAACTTGGGAGTTTCTTATAATAAATTTCATTTTATTACTATTTTATTTAATTATGTTCTAATTTTTTACTATTAATGTTTTGGTTGTATTTTTAACTTAAATTATTTATTATTTGGTTTGCAATACAGTTAAAATATATATATATTTTCTATACAAAATTATGTATATATATTATTGACTAATATTTTATATTGTAATATATTATTCATAGTTTTTTTTTTATTTTAATATTTAAATAACATATATAAAATTTAATTCAATTTATTTTTATTTTAATTTTTATTACTTAATTTGGTTTATTTTCATATCTTTCACATATTTTCTTTTTCATTTAAAATGCATTTTTTTTCAGTTTTTTATTGCGAAATCTTTTAGCTTTTTGCTTAATTTATCTACAATTTTGTTTTTTTTTTGTATTTGTATTGTTTAATAACAACAAACAATGGATTTACCTTCAATCACTTGTCAAATACACACACACACGCTCGCACACACACACACACGCACTTTGTGCATACACTGTAATAATTTTTGTTTTTATTTTTTATTTCGCCTCTTTTCTTCGTGTGTATTTTGTTTGCCGGCCTTGGACGTTGTTTAGTTTGGTTTTTTAAATATGAACTAAACTTAAATAATAAATTAAAAAACAGTTTAAGTTGAGGAAACTTTTGTTGTTTAGCAGAAAATATTTTGTGCACAATTTTCGAAACAATTTTCATTTGTTTTCTGCCGCATTTCCGTTTTGCTTGGTTCGTAATAAATAATTTTTAATTTTTTTTTATTTTTATAAATTTTGCTTTGTAATTTTGAAATGTAATTTAGTTTTGGTTTTTGTGTATTTATTTTTCTTCTTTTTTTTGCAGTCAGCTTCTGTTTTGCTGTTGCCGTTAGACGAGACGAGAAATGCACACAACAAACGCTGCGACTGCGAGCTGCGCACCACCGAAACCTAGCGCCGAATAGACGAGCATGGATTCAAAATTTCGTTTATGGCCTATCGCAGAGGCAGAGGCGACGACGTCGCACACACACAAGCATAAAGCAAATGCACGCACACACAAGCAGTGGCAGAGCCACCACCAACAGCAGCAGCAGCAGTAGTAGCAGCAGCAGCAGCAGCAGTAACAGCGCAGCAGCGCAACAGCTCCAAGAGCGTAAGTTAAAGGCAAGCGAACGCAACAAAGCGCAGCGAAACATACACACGCGGGCAGCATAAGCGAAAACCAGTTTTCATTTTTTTTTTGGGGCCCGGCGTCACAACTGCGAGAGTGCGCCCATTTTGCATTGAGTGTTTTGGCTTTGCGCGTTGCAAATGCAGAATTTGCATGAGTGTGCGTGCGCTCTCTCATATCATTTACTTGCTTACGCTCTCTCAGACGCTCTCAAATAAGCACACCGACACACACACATGTACAGGCACTTGCGCAGCGGCTGTGCAATGTTTTTTGCGCGTTTAATCCAATTGGATTGCACGACGTGCAATGTTCAAATTGGATTTTACTTTTGCTGAAGAACGGTAAAGAGTTTATTCGCAGTTTATTTAAGTTAAATTCAGTTTAAAGTAAAGCTTTTTAACTGTAGTTGAGTAGCTCTTAGTGCGTTCCTCGTAAGGCGGTTTATGATGTCATTGCTGCAACTTTGTTTTTTTTCTTCTGCTTTTTCCTTTTTTGTGTATGCAATGCCGCCCCTTCTCGCAGGACCTCTCTCTGCTGTGCTTGGGGGTGAGTTTCTCTGCTCTCTCGCTCTCTCCCTCTCCCTTGCTGCGTGTGTGCAGGCAAATTGCATAAGTCGCATGAGCTAATCGCGAGTCCTTTCGCAACTCCTTCGAGTGGAAAATGCTTCGAAAACTAGAAACTTGCGTTTTGGAACAGCAGGCGGGCAGTATGAAGGGTTGGGGGGTTAACTGAACTCTGATTGCATCAGCTGGCCAGGTGCAAGGATACAAAGTCCTTAAGCCCATCGCATTCAAGTTCAAAGGCAAAGGAAACAAACTTGATTTGCGGCAAACACAATAGAACTC